TTTTACATTTCAAATAGAAATGTAAAGATTGTTCCTTCACATAAACATTTATTAGGAAGGTTATTACTATTTTTACTTTGGAAGCCACTCTTTTTTTTTTTAATTGATTATATTTCTCTTAGAACTTACAGTTTCCTCAAAGCAAGACTTAAGCACTATTTTTTGATATAGCATTCGTTGGCTTTTTTTAATGTCTTCTTTTTAAATTGATTGTTAGAAAGAAAGAAAGGGACAGGGGTAGAGAGATAGAAACATTGATGAGAGAGAAACATTGAGCCGGAAACCCAGGCATGTGCCTTCACCAGAAATTGTGACCTCTGGTTCCTGGGTCGATGATCAACCACCGAGACACACCAGCTAGGCTGTTGGGTTATTATTTTTTAAAATATCTTTTTATTGATTTCAGAGAAGAAGAGAGAGAGAGAAAGAAACATCAATGATGAGAATCATTGGTCCTCCTACACGCCCCCCGCTGGGAATCGAGCCTGCAACCTGGACATGTGCCTTTGACCGGAATCGAATTCAGGGCCCTTGAGTCCATAGGCCAATGCTCTATCCACTGAGCCAAACTGTCTAGGACTTGGTTTATTTTAATAAACTCAGACCTCAATCTCACAGTGATAGCAGTGAGTGGAGGACAGAAAGACACTGTACAAGTGAAAAAGAAAAAATTGTTATCTAGGTTATTCTCAGCAAATGTATTCAATACTGATAATTATTCATTCCAGTGCATCAGAGGTTGATCTTTCTTGACCTAGAAACAATATGTACAATATCTTATGTCTCTAAACCTTTTTAGTTTCATAGAATCATGGTCAAGAGTGAGAGTTCTAGAGACACATAGTCTGGGTTAGAATATCAGCTTCATTACTTTCCTTGTGCAAGTTACTTAACAAGTCTTGCCTTTGTTTCTTCACCTATGAAATGGGGATAATAAGGTACCTACATCAGAGGGTTGTGTGAGGACGGAATGAGTCAAAAATATTAAAAACCTAAAATACTGCCTGGCACACAGTAGACACCCAATAATTATTATCATTACTTATACCTAGTATTTGTGCACTGGTTTTCTTATTCTTTTTCAAAATCAATTGGATGAACCCCTTTTCTATGCCAGACATAGTGATATACACCTAAGAAGTAGAAAGTGAAGTAGAAAGAAAAAGACTTGGTGCTATAATGCAGGGGTTGTTAACTTGACTCTGATTCAGGTAGTACATGACTTTGATGAGAGAAAAATTAAATCTTTAATTATATTAACTTCCATCTGAAGTTTAGCATTTCCTTTAACTATTAATATAGGCAACATATCACAGTAGTGTTAGCAATGCCTATGGCTTTATTTCCAAGAGAAATTACAGATATTTATATATGAAGTTACAGTTCTTGCAGGTGTCTCAAAGTATTATTTGCCCTCATCACTGCTTTGAAATTATGATAGTTATCAGACTGACCTGCTGGTAGATCACATTTGGGACATTGAAAAAAAAGATGCACCTGTATTACTACATCATAACTTTATCTTTTACTATTTTGTAATGATATTTTATTATAATTGGCTTCCTTTATAATCTGATAAATTTCATTTTTGTGTATGTTTAAAAGAAGGGGTCCATAGTCTTCATTAGATTGCCAAAGGGGTCCATGACACAAGAAACATTAAAAATCTCATCACAGAAGCCTGTGGAAGGCAATGCGGGGGCATTAATAAAAGAGAGCACATTTGGGAGGAGCACAAAATTATTGTTTAAAAAATATATTTTTTAAAAAATATATTTTGTTGATTTTTTACAGAGAGGAAGGGAGAGGAATAGAGAGTTAGAAACATCGATGAGAGAGAAACATCGATCAGCTGCCTCCTGCACACCTCCTACTGGGGATGTGCCCGCAACCAAGGTACATGCCCTTGACCGGAATTGAACCTGGGACCCTTCAGTCCAAAGGCCAATGCTCTATCCACTGAACCAAACGGGTTAAGGCTGATTTTCTTTTTCTTTTTTGTAAGAGAAGCAAGGTGGTCCTCATTTTTTAAAACAAACTTAAACACAGTCAACTTGAGGTCCTTAGGATAACTTTATTCTGATTGCAAAAGTGCCTAGGAATTGGAGTTTAAAAACCTGGGTCCAATGCCAAAACCGGTTTGGCTCAGTGGCTAGAGCGTCGGCCTGCAGACTGAGGGGTCCCGGGTTCGATTCCGGTCAAGGGCATGTACCTGGGTTGCGGGCACATCCCCAGTGGGAGGTGTGCAGGAGGCAGCTGATCGATGTTTCTCATCGATGTTTCTGACTATCTCTCTCCCTTCCTCTCTGTAAAAAAATCAATAAAATATATTAAAAAAAAATAAAACCTGGGTCCAAGTCACAGCTCTGCCACCACATGAGCAAGTCACTTAATCTCTCTGGGGCTATTTTCTCACCTGGTGAATGAAAACAATGCCCGTTTCATAGGATCATTATGACAATGGTAATGTATGTAAAAGCATATTTATCACTGGAAAGGTTAAAATGATTGCTATTCTCTCCTTGAACACATATCTAGTCCTGTGTGCTAGGAACTAGAAAAGAAATGGACAATCGCCTTTGCTTTTTAGGAGTTTATCAATTCTAGATATGGCAAGAGCAAAAACAAGCAAAAACCCCAGGAAACAATTCAAATTCAGTGTGCGGTAGGGGATTTGTGAGTTGGTGCCACAAAGCTCAAAAGAGTTGCCATGCCACACTTGGAAATAACACAAAATAAAAAAGCTGACCACAGAAGTCACCAACCCTGTGATGATGTCATTGTCTTACTTATAGAGCAAAATCTGATTAAGAAGACTATAAGGTAACCAAGGCAACCCCTCAATTATTTGTCTGAGGCAGTAAGGGGTTTTTCTTTGTTGCCTTTTGTGTGTGTGTGTGTGTGTGTGCTCTACATACAGTCAAGGAGAATATAAAAAGTGAGAACTGGGACACATCTGTAATACCTTAATCAATAAAGATAATTTTTTTAAAAAGTGAGAATTTGCTTCTATGCCTTTCCCATAGCACGGTTGGCTTCCTCGTGCCCAGTCCTGGGGCTGTTTTCATTGACGTCCAGCACGGGGGCTACTGGACATTAAACCGTGCCCACGCTGACACCTGGAAGGCGACCATGGGCTCTTAGACGACCTCCCTGCCCCCCTCACTCCACTGCTCTGCTCATCGAAGATTTGTCACAAGGTCTTCCTTTGCCTATACCTGTCCCCCCACACTCCCTCCAGGGGGAGTGTCCTGCACAAAGGACGAACACCGGTAGCTTTGCCAGTTAGGTTTGCTGTTCATTAATAAATTAGCCTTCGACGTATAACTCGGAATTCTGTGGTCTGCTTAGCGTGATGTGACGCTCCAGCCCCTGATGAAATGGGTGAGACTTCATTTTGTAACCCAGTAAAGCTCAAGGCCAGCCTTTACCATCTAACACCCCACACGCCCCTGGGGGGTGGCTTTAAATCAGAGAGGGCTTCCCTCCCGAAATCTAAAACAGAAATCCTCTTCTGTGGCGGGAAACCTAAAAAAAAAACAAAAACAAAAAAACCCAGCACAGGTTAATATATACAAATGATCGAACAAAATAGTACTCTGAACTTTTTGTCTGACGGAAAACCAGCAATAGGTCTACCTAATTTCAGACGTGTTCCTGAAATGCCAGGTTCCATACTAAATGTTTTATGTGTAGAATTCACGTTCTTATAAGGAGCAGACGCTTTGATAAAAAAAAAAAAAAATCGGTGTTTTAGATAAGTAGCCATTCCAAAGATGCTAGTCTTGCAAACCATGCAACCAACCAACCCAAGGACGCTGGCCTTGTAGCGTTGGGAAGCCAACTACAGAGACCACGGCAAAGCCCTGGAAGGTGCTATGAAGGCGCAGCATGGCTGTGTGTGCACAGACCCGGGCTTTGGAGGACAATGTTTCCTTGCAACGTAGGATCAGGTCACAGCATCGGAGTGGGGAAAAACACCCTTGGAGGTCACGCCGCCCAACCTAAAATGCACGTCTTTTCGGAGTTTTAGCTCAACTCCAAACCTGCCGGTGTCTGAAGACTGAACGGGGCCTATGCATCTCTCTTTTCAAGCAAAACCCGCGAAACACAGGGTTCCCCCTCGAGTGTCTGCGGCGCCAGGTTCATGGTTTCTCAAGAAGGTGCACGTCCTTGTAGGAAATCGCCCCCTGCACACTCCTATGGTGTCTGGGCGGTCGTCGGGGCTGGGTGGGTGGGAATAAAACATCTAGGCTTTGCTTCCAACCTAACGGAGGTTGAGCAGCCACCACCTCTCTCGTGAGCGATCCTGAAGCCGCACGGACCCCACAAAACATCGTTTTCCCCGCTTTATAGTTGACAGGACATTCCTGCGGCACATAAATCGCTCCCTTTGGTGGAGCCCAGTCGCACCACGACCCCTTGGCTGGCCCCCCACCCCCCCGTCCTCAAGGGCTTTGCCGGGTGGGACCCGGCCATGGGTGGCCTGAGGCACGTGGTGCCGAGGGGACAGGGGACTCGATCACGCCCGGGGAACCCCTCCAAGGAGAAGCGACCCGACTCCCCGGCAGGCCCCCTCCTATGAAGTTAGAGACTCGATGATCAGTAATGGATCTCGGTTCCTTTTACAGGCCCCTCGCCCTCAGGTCCCCGGAGGCCCGCCTCCCGTCAGGGGTCCTGTCCTCCCGGGGACGGGGACCGACGACGCTCTGAAGGCGAGAAGCCGCTCTCTAAGCCGCTCTCTGGGTCTCTCTCTCTCCCCACAATGCACCGGGGCCAGCAGGAAGGCCGCTCCGACCCCTAATTTTCCCGCGAATTCAGTTCAAAGAGGCGGCCGGGCCCGCGGTCGGCAGCGCGCACGGGCCAACCAAGCCGCGCCTCCGCGAGAAGAGCCTCCGCGTGACTGACGGGGCAATCCGCGGGCCAACGGGCTGGGCGGCCGGGCGGCGCGCGCTCCCGCCGGCCAATCAGAACGCCGGGCGGGGGAAGTGGGCGGGGCCATGCCGGGCTAGGGTGAGCAGCCTCGGGAACGGAGCGGGGCTCTCAGGAGGAGACACTTTTTTTCCTCCCTCCTTCCCTCCTCTCCTCCTCCCTTCCCTTCCCCTCTCCTCCCCTCTCTCCTCCTTCCCCCCTCGGTCCGCCGGAGCCTGCTGGGACGAGCGGTTGGTATCGCCGGCGCTGACTCTCCGGGGCCGCCCGGCGGGTAGCTGGCGGGGGAGGAGGCAGGAACCGCGATGGCGCCTCAGAAGCACGGCGGTGGGGGAGGGGGCGGCTCGGGGCCCAGCGCAGGGTCCGGGGGAGGCGGCTTCGGGGGTTCGGCGGCGGTGGCGGCGGCGACGGCGTCGAGCGGCAAATCCAGCGGCGGGGGCTGTGGAGGCGGCGGCAGTTACTCGGCCTCCTCCTCCTCCGCGGCGGCGGCGGCGGCGGCAGCGGCGGGGGCTGCCGTGTTGCCGGTGAAGAAGCCGAAAATGGAGCACGTCCAGGCTGACCACGAGCTTTTCCTCCAGGCCTTTGAGAGTGAGTGCGTTTGAGCCTTTGAGGGCAGCAATGCCTACTCTGGCGGCATCCGGGGGGTCGGGACGCTCGGGCTGGGCCCCCCCTTCCTCGCCGGGAGCCGACTTGATTTGGGAGCGGAGGGCGAGATGGTGGAGGGAGCTGTTCCGCCTTCAGGGGTGACGGCTCGAGGGGGCCCGAAGTCTGGGGTCTCCGGGGAAAGTGGAGCAGGAAGTCCAGGTGAGGGTCCCGACTCCCCTGAGATGCACACACAAGAGGTGAGGCAGCGGGGCCTCGCGCGGGGAGCTGGCTGCTTGCAGCTGAGGTCGCCGCTGGGCTGTCGGGCTGCACGGTCTCCATCTGCGGTCGGACCCCAAGACTAGTTCTCGTTCTTCCCCTGCCTTTCGTACTCTCGGAGCACAAGGGAGGTTTCGGTGGGAGGTTTTGGGGAACAGATTAAGTCTGTGAAATCGACAAAATTGCCATTAGTCTGAAATGCCGACGCACCCCCTTCCCACCACCACCATCCCATCCCACCCCACCACCAGCACCAGCACCTAGAAAAAAGAAAAAGAAATACCGGTGCACGCACTCGGCGTGCATAGTAACAGGGCACCTTGGGATGCTGGAAAGTCTCCCATCTGTCCGCCCATTTCATGGGTACGCAGACTGAGACCCGAGTGATGGAGCGTTTCACTCCCCGTGAGACCCTCTCGGGAAGCTGCCCGTCGTCCTGGTCTTAATTCCGGATCGTTTTCTTAGGTCAGTTTCTGCCATGTGGTCTGTTTCGAGGGCAAGACTGCGACCTAATTTGGAAAGGGGGACAAACAATAGAATTTATTAAAAAGAAGCACACAACTGTAAATATGTTCAGCTGCCCTGCGATTGGTTTCCATTTTGCTTTTGTGTGAATGCTGTAATTTGGGTGATCTGTAACACCGTCTTACAAAACTTGAATAAACTCCGCTGTGCCGCTGAAGGTCTTTATTTACAATTTTTCCGTGGCATATGTTCAGGGCATGGTATCAGCTGTACTTGGAAAGACATGGTACATTGTGTAATACCTTTCTTTCATTCTCGCACGAGTGCTTCCTGAAATTCTAGTTGGAATTTAATACAAGGATTGTCAGTTTTTATTGAGACCTATATTGAACCTTAAGGGAGAGTCACATTATTTTTATTTTCGCTTAATTTCAAAAGCTGGCGAGGATTTAAATTGGAAATACGGTGGAGAACTGAAGCTCAGTAATGACAATAAACATTCCCATTTGTACCCCTTCTAAAATACAATCTTTTAGTTTTTTTAGAACAAAACTAAACAAGATTAAGTGGATATTTGAAAAATTATTTCTAAATGTTGAGAAGATAAGTCCTCCAAGAAAGTGTTAGCTATTTTTTTCTGGTGAGTCTACCGTGGAGAAGTGAACTGCCATTAAGAACTAGATTTAGTCACAAAACAACTTGATTCTTCTCTAATATTGTCCTTCGTTTCAGATAAGTTTAAATGCTTTGATGTATTTAATAATGTAGTCATTTAGTCCATTTTGATATTGCTTTATTTAAAGGAACAATACTAATAGATGAATAATGTAACAGATTATGGTATTGTATATGAAATATTTTCTATCTATAGCCTAAGTCCTTATAACAAATTAAATTTTAATTAAACTCTGAATTAAAAAGCTTTTGGTAATCTGTCAATTACTTTAAAAATGTGTTGAGGTAGTATTTATATGTTGAGATAATATTTATATTGAGCAAAATAGATAAAAATGAACTATAACAAGAAATATTCATTGAAAAATTTATAATTTGCTTTTCAGATTTCTTTCAATGTTATTGACTTTCATCATATGTTATTAGGACATGTAGGAAACAGTTTCATTCTGTTTTGCCTGACTACTATAAATTTTTTAAAAGACTGATCAAAAAGTAGAAACTTCATTTTTATTTGGCATCAATAAGTGGGTTTTTTTTGTTGAATCCAGCTACCTTATTTCAGCTACTTTTGGGAGGGGAAAATGGTTTATAGTTTAAATTAGCTAAATTAAATTAATGTGACTACTTTTCAGTTCTGCATACAGATTAGTTTCAAAAGTACCTACCTTAGTCTGGCTGCCATGGCTCTGGTTGAGCGTCCACCTATGAACCAGGAGGTCACTGTTGGATTCCTAGTCAGCGCATATGCCCAGGTTATGGGTTCTATCCTCAGTGGGGGACAAGCAGGAGGCACCAGATGAATGATTTTCATCATTGACATTTCAATCTTTCCCTCTCCCTTCCTCTCTGAAATCAATAAGAAATTATTTTTAAAAAATAAAAAGTACCCACCTTAGAAATGCAAGGCTTAAGAACAAAACTGTGGAGCATCTTAAATTTCAAATAAATATAGTTGAATTTTGTGAATGTATACCAATGCACTGTCTTTTGAGCTACAGTGCATACTAATATTCTTGATGTAAATATTTAGTACATGATTTTCATAACAGGTGACTAGTTTGTACTGATTACATGGGCTGGATTGGTATTTTCTTAACAACTTGAATAATAAGTAAATTTAGATAATGTTTGGGTTTTGTTTTCTGTCACCCAGAACCAACGCAGATCTATAGATTTCTTCGAACTCGAAATCTTATAGCGGTAAGTTATTAATAAAATTCATCAATATTATTTTTTTCTTAGAATTTCATCTATTTAATTTTAATATTTTTAAAACTTTTTTTATAGCCAATATTTTTGCACAGAACTCTTACTTACATGTCTCATCGAAACTCCCGAACAAACATCAAAAGGTACATTTTATGAGTCTTATTTCAAGTTAACCAAACCATGTTAAAGTTTTGTTTTAAAGTACTATTTATAATTAATATGAAAACTTAGGTAAAAGAGTGGCAGGTTGAATTGTTTGCAAATTGATCATTTTAGTAGTATCATTTTTGTAAATTTCAGTTTATTACCATTTTTTTCCTAATAGAAATGATTTAGTAGTGAAGTGAATGAAATGATTTTACTGATTTACGTTTTCACTCTTTGCAACTAGTTATTTTCAAGTTTGATAGAAGTTGAGGATTTAAATATTAACCAGAGGGCTCAGGGTAGCTATCTTTGATGCATAAACCTAATAGTTAATTTTTTTAACACATTTCGTACCGCTCAGGAGTTTTCTCGTGTTTCGCGTGCCATCTGTTAAGGACCGCTCACGAGTGTTCTCGTTTTTCACGCCCATGGAAAAAGGAGCGAATCTAGATACTTAACGTAAATTTTGTTTGGTCCCTCTTCATAGAGGAAAATGTTTTACGCAGTACCATACGTTAAAAAAGTAGTAGGAACTTTAATTGTTTGTTTTTGTAAATAAAAATGTTATAATTATTGAAAACAACACCTAAAGTGCATTATGATGATTTAAATAATGTGCAGTTTGCCCAAAAACGTGCGGTCCCTGGCGTATGTCTTAGAGATTTCTATGCGGTACGCAATGTGTTAATATTTCTTATATGTTCTAGCATTAAAGAATTTGCTTCTATATTGATAAGTTTACAAAGTGTCATATCTTTGGTGGTGGTCTTACTAAAGTGGAAATACTTTTTTATTATTCATTGATTAGAGAGAGAGAGAAAGGGAGAGAGAAATTGAGAATCATCGATTTGTTCCACTTAGTTATTCATTCATTGATTGATTTTTGTATGTGCCCTGACTGGATGTCATTAGGACGATGCTCTCTAATAATTAAGCTACCCAGCCAGGGCCAAGAAATACTTTTGATGTCAATGGGATGAGTGTCCTTAAAAAAAAATAAATCTTAATCACTTAGTCTTAAAGTGGAGTCTAGAAGTATCAGAGCTTATATTTGCTTTGTAATATTTAAAATTTTTTTAAAGATTTGTTCTATTGATTTCAGAGAGGGGGAGAGAGATACCAACATCAATGATGAGAATCATTGGTCGGCTGCCTCCTGCAGTCCCCACACTGGGGATCGAGCACACAACCTGAGCATGTGCCCCGACAAGGAATCGAACCGCAATCTCCTGGTTCATACATAGGTCAATGTTCAACCACCGAGCCATACTGGCCAGGCTGTAATATTTAATATTAACCATATATAATTTAATGCTAGTTTCTTGTCCTACATGCAGGGTTACTTATTAAGCATATCAAGTGAAATAACGTTTTTACTAAGCATTTGGTGTCATCTTGACTTGGTAAAATAATTACGCTATCTCAATAGACTTTATTTATTTTTAAATATATTTTATTGATTTTTTAAAGAGAGGAAGGGAGAGGGATAGAGAGTTAGAAACATCAATGAGAGAGAAACATCGATCAGCTGCCTCCTGCACGCTCCCCACTGGGGATGTGCCTGCAACCAAGGTACCTGTCCTTGACCGGAATCGAACCCAGGGCCCTTGAGTCCGCAGACTGATGTTCTATCCACTGAGCCAAACCGGTTAGGGCTCTCAATAGACTTTAAAGTAAACTTCTTTTATTTTTTTTATTTATTTATTTTTTAATATATTTTATTGATTTTTTATAGAGAGGAAGGGAGAGAGATAGAGAGTTAGAAACATTGACGAGAGAGAAACATCGATCAGCTGCCTCCAGCACATCTCCTACTGGGGATGTGCCCGCAACCCAGGTACATGCCCTTGACAGGAATCGAACCTGGGACCCTTCAGTCCGCAGGCCGACGCTCTATCCACTGAGCCAAACCGGTTTCGGCAAAAGTAAACTTCTTTTAGGTCTCCTTTGGAGACTCCTACTGATTATTAAGTAAGCATTATGATGTTTTGTTTTGTTTTTTAATATATTTTTATTGATTTCAGAGAGGAAGGGAGAGGGAGAGAGAGAAAGAGAAAGAAACATCAATGATGAGAAAGAATCACTGATCAGCTGCCTCCTGCACACTCCACACTGGGGATCGAGCCCGCAACCAGGGCATATGGCCTGACCTGGAATCGAACCATGAATTCTTGGTTCATAGGTTGACGATTAACCACTGAGCCACGCCGGCCGGGCCAACCATCATGTTTTTTATAGCAAGACATACTTTAGCTTTGTAGATAAACCTAGGTGGATTTGAAGGATTGAAATGTTAAAATTATTTGTCTTCTGGTAATGTTTCTGAATATATAGAGAGAGAGCATTGCATTTAATAGGTGAAACTTAAATAATTAGGAAGAGGGTGGTGGATCAGGCAACAGAATTAAGTCTGTGCGCTCTTTACCTGTCAGCTTCATTATTTCTATGCCTGAGTTCAACAAACTTTTTCTGTAAAGGACCCATATAGTAAATACTTTAGGCTTGTGGTCTATGATACAGAATTGAGGATATTCAGTGGGATGCAGCAGTACTTACACAAAAAGAGAGAAAACAAATGTCTACAGATTTTTAATTGATGAAATTCAAAATACTTGGAGTTGAGTATAGTGTTTTTAAATATAGGCCTACTGGTGGGCAGTATGGGATTTTTTTATTTTTGTGGGGTGGGGAGAGATAACAGCTTAATTGGTGTTATCTCATCAAAGAATTAGTGTTATCTCATCAAATCAATTGCAAATATTTATCTGTAAAAACCACTCTTAGATTGTGGGTTGTGTAAAAACAGTAGGCTGGATTGATTAAATAGTGGTTAATTTTTCCCTGTATTTTAAAATATACATATTTTTATTAATTTCGGAGAGGAAGGGAGAGGGAGAGAGAGATAGAAACATCAGTGATGAGAGAATCATTGATCAGCTGCCTCCTGCACATCCCCCACTGGGGATTGAGCCCCCAACCCCGGCATGTACCCTGATTAGGAAATCAAACAACACTCAACCTCTGAACCACATTGGCCAGGCTTTCCTGTAGTGTTTTTTTTTTTTTTTTTTTTAATATATTCCATTGACCTCTCTACAGAGAGGAAGGGAGAGGGATAGAGAGCCAGAAACATCAATGAGAGGGAAACATCGCAAGGTACATGCCCTTGACCGGAATCGAAACCGGGACCCTTCAGTCCGCAGCCCAACGCTCTATCCACTGAGCCAAACCAGTTAGGGCCTGTAGTATTTTTAATATGGAAGGTTGGCAGGGTTATCATCTAGGATGTTGCCTAATTTATATTTAAAAGTGATAAACTATTTTCAAAATAAATTAGAATTAATCCATAAATGGATAAAAACTATATTTATTTAAAGCCTAACTTCATAATTTTCTTGTCATGTTTGTTTATTAGACTATTTGATTGTCTCATTATGGGATGTGTTTCTGTTATCTGCTAATGGGTGGAGGCAATTTTTAAACTTGTGCTTAATTTATTGCCCTATAGGTAAAACATTACCTTTTGGGGAAGTTTTGAAGCAGTTTGCCAGCCAAGAAACATAAATTCCACTTAGTTATTTGCATATAAAAATGCATTAGGGAAAAAAATGCATTAGGAATCACTTAATTCTATTGTTATATCCCTGGCCTATATAAGACATTAAGACTAATTTTTTCAAATTTTTATTTTTTTAATCATCACCCCAGGATATTTTCTCCATTTTTTTTTTTTTTTTAAGAGAGAGTAGAGGGGAGGTAGGGAGGGAAGGAGAGAGAAAAACATCAGTGTGTGAGAGATACATTGATTGGTTGCATCTCGTTCACACCCCAACCTGGGCAGATCCAGCTTGCAACCCAGGTATATGCCTTTGACCAGGAATCGAACTCGCAACCTTTTGGTCATTGGTTCGATGCTTGTCAACCACTGAGCCAAACTGGCCAGAGCATTAAGACTGATTTTTAACAAATTACACTACAACTTATATCTTCAAATGAATGCTGTTCTGTTCAAAGTAGTTGGTATTTAGCTCAGTAATTGTAGTCTTTTTACAAACGGGGTTTTTTTTTAACTCTTTTTATAAAATTGCTTTTAGTATTACCCCTTTGCTCAAAATGTTTTTGGAACTAGCCTTGTACTTTTCACTTCATAGATATATTCAAACTCTATAGGTTAACACTACACTGACAACGTGGAATACTGGTGAGGAGAAGGACATCTTTTATTGAATTTATTTTACAGTTTTATGTTAGCTGTTTTTTAATCCTCCCAAGAGATTTCCTAAAACTTCTTGAATTTAAAAATACTTTTCTTGGATGACTTTTTGATAACTATTTCTCCTTTTAAATCTGACCTAAGTAGTGGTATCTTTCTAAAGAACAGAAATATTTGTTGCCCGGGTGTTGGGGCTGCTTTTATATAGTTGCTTATGTTTTTTTTCTCCCCCTCAAGGAGGAATGGGTCGTTTTTATGATCTTACCTGTTTCAAATGGTTGTTAATATTCAGTTCTCTTTTGTAGAACGCTGTAATTTTGGAAGAGATGAACCTTGTGATTTAGTCTTTTCTTCAACAGACAGAATTTCATCTTAATCATTACATTAACACTATTGTTAAAAAGCTTTTAGTAGTTTTACAACCCTCCTCAGTGGTACATTTCAGTATTTGTTAATTATTATTATTTACATTTCAGTCTTTATACTGAAAAGTCTTTGTGAGTAGCCTAGAGAAATCTTACGTTTTTCTTCTTTCTTCTCTCTTATCTGTGGAGATTGAAAATGTATTGCCCTCCTTCATAAAGTACTTCTTACTATACTCTATTGGACGAAACTTTATTATTGAAGTTTTCACTAACTCTAACGGTAAAGAGAGAAGCTGCTTTTTTTTTTTTTAAAAAAAAGAAAGGTCTTTTGTTAATGGAGGCTATTCACCTGAACTATACATTCTATCAATTCTGTTCTTCCTATCAGTATTTTACTGCAAAACATTTACATTAACATTTCTCTGTTGATAATTTTTATTATAGCAGTTGTGTACAATAGCTGATTTTGAGGAATGAAGGTATTAGTAGTTTCTAGTATCTGAATTCAAGCTTTACAAAGTAATTAATGCAGAATACATTAAACTTTTCAAGTCCTAAATTTGAAGAGACTGTATGAGTTATAATGATAAATATTTGTTCCAATTAACATATTATATATCTAGACTTTTAGCCTCTATTTCTAGAACATTTATAGAAAACAAGCTTAAGATGAGGCTTGTTTTAGAATCCATTCTTAAATTGCATTCTTAAGTTCTTGATTTAAGTTCCTAGTTTGTGGAAAAATTACTCTTTTCTCTTAAACTTGTCAAGTTAAAAGTTAGTAATATTTTTATGATTTGATGGGTATGTGCCTTAAACTTCAAAATTTTTTCATGATGACGACAACCATCTCTTTAATATGGCATTGTGTAATGTTAGCCATTGATAATAATCTTTGAGGATATTGTTAACTTTATATATTTTTTTATAGAATATTCATTTTTATGTGGTAGTGCTAGCACATATTTGTCAGGTTACTTAATAAAAGGATGAATGTTTCAAAGTATACATAATTTGCATTTGTTTGGCTCAGTCCAACAGATGCTTGAATATCTACCAAGTATAAGGCACTATGCCAAGCATTATATGACTTTCCTTTAAAAAAAGCAATCTCTGTCCACCAGGAGCTTATAATATAGCAGGAGAAATAAAATATTTATACAAATTTCACATTTAGGAAACTAAGTGTTAAAATAATTATAAACCTATGTGCCATAGGTAAGGAGAAATAACCCCAGTTAAGGTTTGGGAATAATTACAAAAGGTTTCATGGAAAAATTAGCATTTGAGATGGTACTTGAAGGCTTGTCTGCTGTATTACAACATACACTGTCTCAGGAATATGCATTGTTATGGCTAACCATAATTTACCTTATTAAAAATAATAATCAGATTTCCAACTTGCCTATTATAGTGACAATAAAGTGTAATCTGTTTGTTTTTCCCAGTTGAGAAGTGATTATTTTGTTTATCTGTTTCTTCCAGGAAAACATTTAAAGTTGATGATATGTTATCAAAAGTAGAGAAAATGAAAGGAGAGCAAGAATCTCATAGGTAAGATAACCTACATTAAGTGACATACTTGAGGAAAGAGTAAAATGATAGTGATCTTTTCCCTAGTGATTACCTCAATATTATAAGGAGTTAGAAGGAACCTTAGAGGTCACTTGGTCCAAATTCTTACACAAATCAGGAATTACTTCCTCTATACCATCCCTGGCAGAGAAACCTTAAGCCTCATCTCGAATACCTCCAATGCTGAGAACACAATGCTTTCTAAGGCAGCTATGTTCATTATCAGTTATCTCTATTTCCAGTTTCTTAAATTTTGAATCCCAATTTCTGTAACTTCTGCAGTTGGTGTTAATGTTATAATTCATATAAGGAGGGATGGAGACTCACATTTATTTAACTATATGCTAGGTGCTGTGCCAGGTGCCTCACAGCAGCATATCTCTTCTAAGTATCATTTTCACATCTGAGAGAGGCTCTCTTTTTTTTCCATTTTGTCTTTCCCCTTACTTACATCATTCAGGCAAAATATTCCTAACTTCATTTTGTATTCAAAATATGTTTATAACATGGTAGTTTAATAAATTTGACAATTTGGGCAGAATCTACTTATTGTATGTTTTCAGACGTGACACCCAGAACTAATTTCCTAAATGTCCTAGTAGCTGCCTAGGCTAGACAGTATGTTTCCACTCCTAGATGGTATTATTCTATTTAGTCTTTTATATGTAAACTAAAGAAAGTTAAATACTATTCTAAAGAGAAACAGGAACTTAGGTGGTATTCATTCATTGACTCATTTTAGGGAGAATGCAAAACTAAAAATACTAGGTTTAAAAAAAAAATAGAGTTGAAAAAATTGCCACAGTGGATTTTTCTTTTTTGAAACATTGTTATTGATTTCAGAGAGGAAGGGAGAGGGAAAGAGAGATAGAAACGATCAATGATGAGAGAGAATCATTGATTGGCTGCCTCCTGTACACCCCGTACTGGGTATGGAGCCCACAACCTGGGCATGTGCCCTTGACTAGAATCGAACCCAGGACCCTTCAGTTCACAGGCCGATGTTCTGCCAACTGAGCCAAACCAGTTAGGGCTTTTTTTCTTTTGAAGTTTTAAATCATATCTTACCAATTTGTATAGGCTACGCACTGATTTAATGATGCTTCATGTATGGTTTCTCATTTTAGTGACTGGTGTAAGATGTCATTTTTGCAGATGCTTATATTTAAAGTTTGGCTTTTGAATTAGAATATTTTGTTACTTGAATTATAAAATCACATTTTTTATTTTATATCCTGCAATCGTATAAAACAAAAGTGTAATTTCTATTTCCATATCTAGGCAATCCTGACTTGTAAATAAGCTTTGATGGTCTGTTCTAGAAACTGAAATCACTGATCTTTACTTAATCTATTCCTGCTACGAAGCACCTTTCAATGCAGGAATATTCCCAGTGCATGTGCACTCTATTCTTTGCTTGAATTTTTATTCCATATTCTTGTCTGGTCATTTACCCTGGACAAAGCTCTTGGGATCCTCAAGGCCTTTTTTACTTAAAGTGTAAGCTGTGTTCTGACCTCCCTGCTTCTTTTCTCCTGGACACCTTAATAGTTTGCCCTTCAGGTCTTTCAGGGTTCAGGTGAGAAGGAAGAATGAACCAAGAAAAGAACATTTAACCCTTTTCATCTTCTCTTTCAAACTTCTACCTTCATCACTGCTAAACCGTATTACTATCTCTTTGTGACATTGTCTTAGATCAGTGGTTCTCAACCTTCCTAATGCTGCAACCCTTTAATACAGTTCCTCATGTTGTGGTGACCCCCAATTTCATTGTTACAAATTGAACATAATTAAAGCATAGTGATTAATCACAAAAACAATATGTAATTATATATGTGTTTTCCGATGGTCTTAGGCGACCCCTGTGAAAGGGTCATTCAAACCCCAAAGGGGTCGCGACCCACAGGTTGAGAACCGCTGTCTTAGATAAATATTACAGGGAGTAATATTTAGAGGGAGTAGGGAGTCTTGTGAGGAAGATAGAATGTGCTGGTTAATTATTTTTGAATAATGACAATAATTTTGTTCTTTTTGACCCAGTGGGTTCAATAATTAGACCAATAATATAACCAGCTCATAGCAACATTAGAGATTTGCATAGAATTCCTGCTTGTTATTTTGAAAAACAACTTTTTCAGTCTTTAAGATCCAGCTGGGATATTTCATTGAGTTGGATATTTCAACCCCCAAGATTTTCTTTTTTTTTAAAAAAATTGATTTCAGAGAGAGAAAGGGGCTGCCTCCTGCACACCCACCACCAGGGATCAAGCCCGCATCCCAGGCGTGTGCCCTGACCAGGAATTGAATCATGACCTCCTGGTTCATGGGTCAATGCTCAACCATTGAGCTACACCGGCCAGGCGCTATTTTATTTTTTAAAACCTATCTCTGTTGGAGCTGACCATACTTAATACCCAGCAAAAGCACTTTAGACCAAGGGGAAGTATTGAGTTAATGTGCTAGCTGCTTCAACCCACACCCCCCAAATGTCTCAGTGGTGCTCTTGGAGTCACTAAAACGAATTGGGAAATTCTTTCATTTTAAGTTTACCTCCAAAGCCTTATATTTGTTAAATGACTTCAGTGTATTTCTCATCTCAAATTAGGTATAATCCTATTGTTTACTAAATTTATTACACAGGATTGTAAAATGTTTCTTAGACACCAATATATAATGCCAGCACTAAAAACTTTGCTTGTAAAATAGTTGATCAAATTCTCTTAGAACAAAACAAATCTTTGTTGTTCCATAACATTAATTACTAGTAGTTAACATTTTAAATCATATACAAAAAAGTATCTCTTCCATCTATATTTTTATTCTGGACGATTTCAGATATAGGAATCTTGTTCAGTTTAATTGCCTCCTGGATTTGTTCAACAGCTGTAATATGGGAGTCTTCTATTGTAACTTATGTTCTTTTAGCACTTCCAAAGTTGTAATAGTTCCACTCCCAAACACAATGTATTTCATGCTACTAAGTTCTAGGGGAATATCACAAAAAAGCTCCAAAGTTCCAGAGAAATATCAAAATATACAAAAATAACATAATACTACAGCCCAAAAGTTAGAATAATGAAATGCCTGGCCTATTTATGACATTTATAGTGACGTATAAACCAAACCAAATTCCCAGCATTATCCGTGCAAAATGAAGTTGCTGTTCCAGGATTTTTTAATGTAATTTCTACTCTAGATAAATAGTTGTCTTACTAGTCACAGATAATTGCAGAAATTTACTAGGGCAGGGGTGAGGAACCTTTTTTCTGCCAAGGGCCATTTGGATATTTATAACATCATTCTCGGGCCATACAAAATGAGCAACTTAAAAATTAGCCTGCTATATTTGATCAAACATTTAATTAACTCCTAATGCCTTAGCAGAACCAAACCAACTGTTTTTGCGGGCTTTATGGCCTGCGGGCCAGACGTTCCCCACTCCTGTATTAGGGAAAGGGGCTGATAGAAAAAGAAAAACATTGCCCTGGCAAGTATTGGTCAGTGGTTAGAGCATCAACCCTCGAACCAAAGTATTGTGGGTTCGATTCTGGTCAAGGGCACATACCTTGATTGCAGGTTCCCTGCTCCAGTTGGGGTATGTGCAAGAGGCAGCAATTGATGTGACTCTCTCACATTGATGTTTCCCCCCTTTCCCTTTCCCCTACCCTTTCACTTTCTAAAATCAATGGAATAAATATTAAAAAAGAAAAATACAGCCGAAACCGGTTTGGCTCAGTGGATAGAGCGTCGGCCTGTGGACTGAAGGGTCCTAGGTTCGATTCTGGTCAAGGGCATGTGCCTGGGTTGCGGGCACATACCCAGTAGGAGATGTGCAGAAGGCGGCTGATCGATGTTTCTCTCTCACCGATGTGTCTAACTCTCTATCTCTCTCCCTTCCTCTCTGTAAAAAATCAATAAAATATATTTTTTAAAAAAAGAAAAATACAGGTATTTCATGGTTTTTACTTCTTTAAGGTGTTGGTCAATTCATGACAATAGACCAGAATTGTCATCTGTAACTTTAAAACTCAGTTTTAAAGCCTACCATTGATGAATATTGCTTCTTTTCTTGAAAAATAGCTTCTGAAAATTCCACAGCAATGAGCAAATCTTAGAAATTTATAGTTGTCTCACTTTAGTCTCCCAAGTTTATACTGATGTTTCCTCTTGCTTTTTTTGGTGTGATTATATTTAAAATATCTTTATTTTCTTTTTAGAATGTCTTATATCCTGTCCTCTCTAGCTCTTGTATCTGGCACTTAAGTTTATTGTGGGCTTTTTGTTTACTTTGGGTTTTGATCAAGCACTTTGGCTTATTGGAATAAATCTCTGGTATTTCTGTAGTTTTCTATCCTAGCAGGATCCCTGGGGTCAATTGTATTATTAATCCTACCAATTTTGGAATTACTGTAACTCCTGACTTATAAGTGCATCTCCACTAGCAGAAAGGTCAGCATGAAAAGATTTCCAAATTGGAGCTGCTTCCAAAAGTATTTCCCTAGGCGAGATGAGAAGCAGAATGTCTTCTCTCTCTTCCCCTTAACCATCTTTCATTCCTGGTCCACTGTTAGTAGCTGGAGAAGTCCCCTCAAAACATAACTACAACTTTTACTAGGGATATTTTCCAACCTCTGGTTTTAGTAGGTTAATAAGGTAAATGTCTTTCATCACTTTCTATAGTTGTTATTACAGCCTAAGCTTTAGAATTAGAAATCTTCCTTTTGTAAGCATCTTTTTGTACTATTACAAGGCCCGGATCTATTTTTTTTTTTGGATTCCCATTTACTTAGTGTACCACTTCCCAAACACTATATATACTATCTCTTAGGGCAGTGGTCAGCAAACTCATTAGTCAGCAGAGCCAAATATCAACAGTACAACGATTGAAATTTCTTTTGAGAGCCAAATTTTTTAAACTTAAACTATATAGGTAGGTACATTGCTATTAACTTAATTGGGGTACTCCTAAGGCTTAGGAA